GTTTCCGGTGTTATTTCATTTGATCTGCCTAATAATCGCAACTTTTTACAAAACATTTTCAATTTACTCCAATTAACTTATCTCAGTTATATTACCTAATCATTTGATTGTTGATTAACGTTCTCACCCCTTTTAATCTATGTGCACTTTTTGTTGTCATTTGACCTTTACGTCATCAACTATCAACATTATAATTATCACCAGTATCATTATTATTGTTTCAACCCCTCATTATTTCAGTTAAATCTTCCTCACGGATTACAGTCTTTAAATATCATATATGTATGAGAATGTACAGCCTGAGAATAAATTCGTTGAAAAGAGTCCTCTTCGCTGAATATCTTGTTTTTGATGTCACAATGCGAATAATGAACGTATTATAGCTGCTTGCATAAACAGGGTCAATTTGCAAATAACCTATTAGCTACGTAGTCTACGTTGAGTTTTTTTTTTAGCTGTTTAGTTTTCCAGCTGCATAACTGTGGTATCAATAGGGTTTTTCAAGTTGTTATTCATCGAAGACTGACATCAGTTGGAGGAACAAAGGAAACCTGGGAGCACTGGACAGCTGTTTCGTCCTAGTATAGGACTCCTCAGCAGTGCGCACCCACGACCCCACCAGCAGGGATCGAACCCTCGACCTTCCTGCGACCATACTAGGACGAAACAGCTGTCCAGTGCTCCCAGGTTTCCTTTGTTCCTCCAACTGATGTCAGTCTTCGATGAATAACAACTTGAAATATTTCCAAATCTCCACAACCCCCTCAAAATTTAATAGGGTTTTTGTTGGAAATTATCTAATTAAGATCACAAATTGTGGTCTCTGATGTAAGTGTCATGATCTAACCGAAATATTCTACTGAACAATATTAGTAGCTATAATCTATTCATTTATAAAATAAATACGTTCAAACTGCGCATAAAATTATGTTATTCTAGCAAACAACTCTCTACCTTAGTGAAATGTTTGTCTACATAGTTTATTCTCTCTCCTTTCAATGACCTTTTTCCTGTAGATTCTATATAGGTATGAGTCATTCTGAATGAAGCGGCCATCGCTTCTTATCAGCCCATCAAGGTTGTTCGGTTATCTGACTTGTTTAAGGTCACAAACAGACTACTGACTAATTTTCTTCCCGATGCTTAAACTAGATTAAATGGCCCATTGATTTTTTCTTCACGGTTAGTCTTCAAAATGATTTTAGTTCTATCCCTTACGCACATTAGTCACTCCAGCTGTGATTATAATACTTCCCTTATCTATTCATCCCAGATATACTTCACTTTAGTGGTTTTAAGCTGTTGTGAGAGCTGTAGTTTACAATGATTAGTCACTGGAATGTAAACAGTTTTATGTTGTATAGTCCTGAGTGCTCACCTAATTCTATCTAGGAGACTCATTATCGCAGTGCACTTTTATATACCTTAGATTGTGTGAGGCATTCTGAACGAAGCCCTGGATTACCTAGGTTGCGTGCTTGTTAGCGCTCGTCAGCAAGGCGTATCTGCAACTTCCAGGAGACTGATGTTGCTTATGAGATTCTAATTCGTGTCATTCAGTGTTGCAGTCAGCGACCTCAGTGGTTGCCTTCAATCAAGGAACTGTGGTTTCGATCGTATATCTGTTTTGCACTAGTTACTATTTAAGCGTGTGATGACTTATACAGGTTGCATTCTTCGAAAAAAAACGCTTTCCACGCAGTCACGAAGCATCAGAATTTTATTTTCCTACTTCACTGGGACTTGGCAAACATTATATTATAGCAATTCATTGGTTTCCTTTGCTATGGTTGCACAAGATCCCCTTGTAGTTGGTAAAGTCTTCTCATCTGGCTAATTTTGTTTCTGACTGAGGTTATACATGTTTTGATTTTCATGCATGCTGCAAATTTCACAGTGCATCAGCTTTGTGTGTGACCAAGTTTACGTATTAATCGTCTTAGTCATTTGGATGCAAATTCGTACTAAACAGACCACCATTAACGTCTAGTAAAAGATCAGTTCTTATTGACAAATCCGCTATTATGTAGTATTTCTTGCCTTCCTTCGTGGGAGCAGACGAAAAATAAGACCTCTCATATATAGATTTACTTCATACTTAATACAGAAGAGCCGAAATATTACCTAGATTATTCTACATAAGACAGTATTCTTTTATTTTAAGACAGAAAATATAGTAGGACCTCACACACAAGTGCATCGGTTCAAGTTACCACACTTCACAGTAGTATACAGAGAACAAGTGAATAGGATAAGACTGATATCAAGATAGAAAAAGGTGTTGCTGGGTGATGATTGAAAGTGAAATGAAAATTTCAACCGTGGTTGGATTTTAACCAGCTACCACCAGGTTTCCGGCTCGATGGTCTACCAACTGAGCTAAGAGATCCAACTGCTGACCAGTTTTTTATTTCACTTCTGATCATCAAGGATGTATGAGAGGAGAATAAATTTGAAAATTAAAGTTAGTCAAAAAAACTCAAGCTTTGGAAGACATGAAAGAGTGAATATATCTAAGTCTTTGTAATCGATTTTCAATCATTTCATCACGAATCTTCAAACACTGATTCCTTTGGTTTCATGGATCCAAGCCAAGCAACATACACCCCACACGACTAGGACCAACAGTTAGAGATTTTATGAACTGGTGCAACATCTCGGTATGACCACCCTGAACCCTTTTCCAACCCAACCCAAATTCTCCTAACATTGTACGTTGAGGTAAGCGGTGACTCGGTATACGTGGTAGACGTCCAAGTCACATGCAGTTATCGTAATTTACCTAAACATCAGTGACTTTTTAACCTAATTATGATGTTTACAGTTAATACTTATGCAAATGTCACACTTTACTTTTAAAGTCGTTAATTGTTACATAATTTTTCAAATTATGTAACCTACATAACTGTTCAGTGCTCTTTCTACACCATATTGCATATTTATCTCTAATCTGGGTATCGAAAATATCTTACAATGTATCGTACATACGGTGAGATTGCTAATGGGATTGTATAGGCACGATTGAACCTGTCTTAATATGGTTCAATTCGTCTCACAGGTGATAGTCTCCATTTAACCCTATTCTCTGCAGTCTTCAAAACCTGGTGCTGCGACTGCCCAATGGCTTTCATTTCTTCTTCACATGATCTCCTCCATGTCACCCTTGGATGCCCAACTCGTCGTTTCCCTTTTGGATTCCACTCGAGGGCCTGGCCTGATGCGTGATGTCTCCAAACGGTCTTCTCAGTGTATGCCCAATACATCTCCACTTTCTTCTGCGTATTTATTAGGCGATGGGTTCTTGGTTGGTTCGTTACCAGCCGGAGTTCCTCCTTGCTTATTCTTGTTATTCTCGCCATCCATCTGATCTTCAGCATCGAGTGAGCGTAGGCGTAGGCGCCACCTCTTGATGAGGTATATCTGTAGTTTGTTGGAAATGCTTTTCGTAACGCGCCAAGTCTGTCAACCATCACATGGAAGCACTGACTTACTTGGCTGAATTAGTGTTGAGAATCCACATCTTGTTCACGCTTTATACTGACTGCAGTGCAGTGCAGTAGATCTCCACACTGATTTCAGACTAATAAAGGCGTATCTTGCTGTCTTTCCGATCGTGGCTGGTTTTGACATCCTCATGTGTGCGTGTGCCACCTGTAGTTGAAACGATGCTGCCTAGGTAGGCAGGTAGGTGAAAGAGACAACTTCCTTCAGATTTTTCCCGTTGATGGTGATTGGTGCTTGATGTTGGTTGATTGGTTGGGTATCTTCATCGTCTCTGTCTGTATTTCTTAGTTAATATAAACTGACAGTCCAGTTTTGTGCCATTGAAACTGTGGTAAATAAAGTTAGACTGTAGTACGAATGATTGAAAATACTCTGAAGGATAACGTAATATGTATGTCTTGCATGGGTGATCGTAGTTCTGTTCTACGCTTATTATCACACAGCCATATTTAATGGATAAGGCATTTTAAGACATTTTGTTCGACAGCCTAATTTTCCACAATTGCTTGTGGTAGGCAACAACGTCATGTAAGCAGTCTTACGATTCACTAGCATTGAGTGTTTTGAGAACAAATTTTGAAGATTCACACATATTTGAAAATACTTTTAAATAAATCCTCATGTCTGATCATTTTATTCACTGGATGGGTGTAAAGGTGATGAGAAAGCTACAGGGTAAACACTAAGTTCATACTTCTCTTTCACCCTTCATAAAAGCATTTTTTATAGTTCATATTTTTGTGTAACTTACGGTGTGCATCCTAACACTACTTAAATTATTGCCGTATTTGTGTGGTTACTTTATATCTGCATTAACTTGACTAGCGGTGTTTCATATCAGTGATTTCGTGATTTGTACAAGGAATGAACGGTCGATGATTTCTTCATTTCGGCAAACTAGCACTTTGAAGTCTGGTTTTGAATCGTAAAACCTTATCATTATCGTATTCAAATTAATCTGCTTTCATTTTATTACTGTATGCACTGTCATGGACAAATAATGAATGATTACTGATAGAGTGTTCTTCGACTTCCAACTTGAAGTTGCATGGAAACGTATTCTACAACCTTTTGCAAATTAATGCAGTAGGCAATGAGCCACACCTTATTGTTTAATGGTTAAAGATACTACTAGTCGCTCAAACCTCAGCAGGCGAAGCGGGGTTCCGATCTGTAACCCGTTGGTTGGAAACCAGGTGCCTAGAGGAATGACCGATAGATTCTACCTTGACATGCTGGTCGGGATTACATATCACGATAACCAAACAAGCTATACTGGTGAAGCACCTGTTCCTTCAAGGTCATACCATGACAGAAAGGTTAGTTGGATGGTAGTAGCACAAAAAGTAGTTGCCATCAGCTTTAGTTACTATGCTGTGATGGTGGTTCAAAGGGTAGAGCCGTACTGCTGCTGGATAGGACGTGACAACAGTAAGATGTTTCACTTGGATGACCAACAGTGCTAAGAGAAGTGAGGTTAGAAAAGTTTTACTCTGCAAATAGCATAATCCTCTCTATTTCACGGCATATCGGAGATGGCGATATGAGTTCTTGGTCATATTCGAGGAAAGCAAGCTGAAACCTCAAACTTCTAAAAGGTTAGGTGTATCTGACGTCTAGCAAATTTCCCTTGGACTCTATGGTCATACATTAACCCTTCTTTTTGAATTGTCTGAAGGGGAACCAACATTCCACGCTTTTATGTAGCAAAGAAGTGTCAACTGCCTCCCATGTTTGCAGCAGTATACAAAGCAAATAAAAATAAAAGTGGACTGCGATAAAGCGCTAGTGGTAATTTACTTGACTGTGGCTAGCGAAGGAAGCCAGGACTCGTGTTTCGTTCGATTTGGAACTAGTTGGCTGGGTATACCTGCACCCACTGAGACTCGAACTTCGTACCGATTGCTTCAAACTCCAAGTCGTTATCCATTAGGCCACTAAGGTGCGATAGCCACTATATACCAAAAGAAGGAGAACAATTCGATTTAATATAACAAAAGAGAATTACAAGTATATCGACTAAAAGTTGTAGAAATGCTAATATTTGAAGATTTTTGTCTTGTTTCATTGTTAGGAGTTTAACTTGCTAAAACTGCTTTATATTTGGTTTTTAATCGAAGATATTCACTTTAGGATAATGACTATTTATCCAATCTACTATTTATACTCAGAATTTAATTAGTTGGTCATAAAGTCATGTTTAAATTAGGTCACATTTTGTGTATTCCATTCAATAAGTTTTTTTTTCTTTTCTTTTTCATTTTAGCAATTCATACAACATGGTTGCAACTGAATTTCTTGGTTATGTTCAATCATTTTCTGTATGTAACTATGTTGGATTTGAGGATTTAGCTGATCGAGCAAATTTTCAATGGAATGTTATTATCTTACTTTTGTGTATGATATTGGTAACATTAAGACAGTATTTTATGACTCCATTGGTGTGTTATTTGCCAACAACAGTCAGTGGAGTGAATGCAGATTCGTATATCACCAATTTATGCTGGATTGAAGGCACATTTCCTATTAATCTTACATCTGGAATTGTACCTCATAAATTACAAGACTGGGAGGCGCTTCGACCTCAACAAATGAGTAGGTTTCTCTAATTTTACTTTACTACTGCTTACTGTAATTGTTGGTATCTGTTATCATTATGAATGGTGTTGGATTTATGTTACGTTACCCATCATCTTATGCATCCATATGACTTCTGACTTGAATTCATGAGAAATCATAAATTAATCTCAACAGACAGAAAAGTCGGATTCTAGATTTCTGTGATTATCTAATGTGTGACTTTAAAGACCACCATAGCGACTGCTGAAATGACCATTCAGGCTTCGATACTTCACCTAGGAAAATACTTTTCCATAAAATAAATGAATGTAATTGGTTGTCACATCAGTTACTAGGGCGGCCTTTAAAGTCATCCATATCTGATCGGTATCGTAGAGATTAAATAAAAAGAAAGTATGCTACACTATACTCATATAGATATAACTATTTTAGAACAAGTTTAAAGGCCACGCTAGCAACTGCTGGAATAGCCAATCAGCTTTCGATATTTCGTCTGAGAAGGCAGTTATTCTAAAAATGACGAAAAGTGATTGGTTGTCTCAGCAGTTGCTAGGGTGACCTTTAAACTCCTATTTTATACATACACATATTCTGAGTATTAAACTATGACTACTATATGAACGTACTATACACCTACCAAATGCAGTTCAGAAGCACGTTTAGGTTAGATTTTAGCGTTAATTTCAAAGATACTTAATTCCCACTATTATCTGTCATTATTGAATCATTTTGTTGACTTATTATTATTATTCAGGTTTATTAACGTACTTATAGAGATCATTCTCTGATCATCTGGCTTTAAGGAGATTGGTCCTGTCACAGGGGAACCGTTATTACATCTACAGCATGCAAATAATATATTCCTGTTAGGTGAAGATGCAGAGTCTTCTAGGACGCGTTTCTCACCACCGAAATGTAAATCGGTGCTCCAGGACTGATCCGCTTTGATGTTTTGTCTCACAGTAAGAGGTGCAATTATTGAATGCATTGACCACTTCCCTTAGCTAGACAGTCGGACCCACCGCCCATTAAGTACTTGAGGAAATCTCTGCAAGGATAGCTTTCGCCAACTTATGCCATTTTGTGGCTCTACAATAATGCCCAATTGCCTATTAGGAGTCGAATGTATTACACTGCAGTTTGCCTGATTCTACTATATGGTTGAGGCAATTATAGGCACAGAACATGAGGAGACTTCACGTTTTCGACCACGATCGGCTTCGTAACGTAGGCCGTGTGTTGTAGTGTCACCACTTTAATAACTTTTAAGTCGGACATAGGTTTTCAAACAGAAAAGTAAAGTCATTTAGTGAGGTCGTGAACCTTCATTGACTGAGATGGCTGGGATATTTGTTATACATGCCTATTCACTGCCCGCCTTATCACACAATGTTAGCTGAAGTGTGTTCAGGCTCGAAAAAGGCTAGAAATGACCAGAGTAAAACATGGAATCAGTCCGTGAATGCTTCGGCTGTTAGTCTGAACAGTGTAAGGAAATGCAGACCTCTTGGGCGGGAAATAGTGGTTGGAGATTGGGTGATATAGCTCAGAATCGATATCAGGGGTGCAGATGTACCCATACATTATCTTCATGTTAATCTTCATACTGAATTTCAGTATTGTCTCATTGCTTCTTTTTATTTTAGCAAAACTTTCTACCACTTTTGACTGCTTCCTTCTTTTTTCTTTATCTTTCATCTTAGTGGACTCTCGCTCGATTCGCTGATATAAAGTGTGGGAAGCTGAACCGTTAAGGAATAATGCTAAGTTCTGTGTTGATGTTGTGTTTGTCTGTATTTCCTTCACTCACAAAAGTTATCTGTGGTGCAACCTCGATATCTGATCGTTTATTAAGAGTCGAGTGTACTATGCTGCAGTTTACTCTGTTCTACCTTATATCTGGGGAACAGCTATTAAAGGTAGAAGACATGAGAGAAGGCTTCAGGTGTTTGATCACCGTTGCCTTCGTAGCATAGGCTGTTTCTCGTAGTGTCGCGATGTGAGTAACACAGAAGTCCGGTGTAGAGTTTTAGGTAAGAGAGAGGTAAGATACACACTTTCCTCGTCTTAACCGCTATACTGAAGCTGATCATCTCATTCTTTCTTCCTCTCTTTTACTGCTTTCTACTTCTTCTAATTGATTTTCCATTTCCTTCTTCATCTTCCATTTTATTGCCTCGTTACTTGATGGATTGATGTGAGATGTGGCAAATTGGACCGTTACACCGTAATGCCTGGTTGTATGTTGATTTTGATGATGATGATAATCTGTGGTATGGTTCTGTAGTATTTCTAGTTAAAAATTTTGAATATTTGTGCATTTAATAGCTGTCAAACGTCATGCAATTATTTAGTTTCCTTTCTGCATAAATACACGATTCTTTAGCTTACTCAAAATAGACAGTTAAACTGTTGAAATACTTGAGCAGATTAAAATATATGGAATTAAAGTAGGCGAGTATGTAGGATTCAAATTTGGTGATCGTAGAAGAAAATGTTACCGATCGATTTTCAGCTACTTATAACTGTTAACAATATGTGTTACATAGCATCATGATTGTATACCGAATGCTTTACTCGACAGAAACAATGACTAGGCTTCAAGAGATGACTTCGTTATGTTTCCATATCATTATCACCTAATGAAAACTCTATAGCCATTTTACAAACAATAAATCAAGTCGGTTGTGTTACGGTTAGCAATATCATCTGACTATTAAAACGTCATTTGTTTCAGAAAGATTTGAACCAGTAAACTGCTAGTTGAAAGTCTAGTACCTCCTTCTATAGGCTACAACTAAAAATTCATAAAACATTTTCTCTCTACCTTTTACTCCTTCTCTAATGCATGAATTGATTGCCATTTCGCATACTAATACCGTTAGCTTGATTGAAGGATATATTTTGAGATGAATAGGGATTTTTTAGTTTAAAAGTACTATTTATCATAGATTGATACCAGTTGGGGGAACCATTGAAAATCTGGGAGCACTGGACAGCTGTTTTGTCCAACTAGTATGGGACTCCTCAGCAGTACACACCCACGACCTGGCTAGGGATAGAACTCAGGACATTCAGGTTTCACGGCGAACGCATTAACCGGGGTCGTGGATGCGTACCGCTGAGGAGTTCCATACCAGTTGGATGAAACAGCTGTCCAGTACTCCCAGATTTTCAATGGTTCCCCAACTCATGTCAGTCCATGATGAATACTACTTGTGAAGGATTTATTGTTGTTCAAATTACATGATTAACTCAGATAGTAAATCCATTGTACTAGTAAAAAGATACTGTTTAGAATAGCAATGTGAGTAATTTGTTTTGACATTTAACTTTTTCTAGCTGGTGATTTAGATCAAGGTATAAACATTTCTACTGTACACTACCTATCAATGAATACACTAGTGTTTATTAATATTGTTAACCAAAAGAAAACTTTAGCTTATTCATACTTCTAATGACTTATTGAGAGGATTTTGTCTAATATCAACGTTACAAGTTAAATTCATTATCCATTATGAAAAATTTATTGAGTATTACTAATACACTACTTTTACTACTAATGTTATGTTTATCAGTATAAAATAAGATAAAGTACCTTCATTGAATCGATAAATTTCATGTTTTATTTCTTCTCTCTCCAATGTACATTGTCTTTTGACTGACTTAAACACGCATACACTTATATTACATAACTATATAACATACATTATATTATGATTTCAATTCAACTACCAGCAGAATTTGTTTTTCGATTATTTCTTTATACAATAACAGACTATCTGCTGACAATGACCTCAATAAATAGAAATGTTTTGACATTTCTTATGATATTAGTGTGTTAAAAATGAGAAATAATCATAGTGTAAGCATATAAATTATGTAACAGCAACTTTTGGCTTGTCTATTTTTATTTCTGATAAGAATGAAGTGTTTTGATTGGTGCATAGTTGAAATAGACACTGATAATAAATTTCGCTTAACAAGTTACACACAGACAGTGAAATTCGTTTTTTAACAGTTGGTTATATGAAGTCTTTAAGAATAATGATCTGTAATCATCAGTTAGACTGATTGACCTGTGTCAGCTGTAGTTTCTCTACAACAACATAATACCTCTGTATAGTCACTTACTGAAGGATATGACAAAATGTTTTATTTCAAGTTGTTATTCATCGAAGACTGACATCAGTTGGAGGAACAAAGGAAACCTGGGAGCACTGGACAGCTGTTTCGTCCGACCAGTATGGGACTCCTCAGCAGTGCGCACACACGACCCCACCAGAAGGGATCGAACCCGCGACACTCAGGTTCCGCGACCAGCGCGTTACCATTGAGCCACTCGGTCACAATCCAATGCTCCATATTTCCAACTTCTGTTAGCTCACGATATATAGCGCAACCGCCACCCAATGTCAACTCTGAGTATTTGTCCTCATGGCCATCAGGCTTTGACTCCACCGGTCACGACTTGTCATTGGAACTTCGGGAATACTTCTCGAAGCTAATCACCAACGAGCACTAGTTCAATTAAATTTTGAGGGGGTTGTGGAGATTTGAAAATATTTCAAGTTGTTATTCATCGAAGACTGACATGAATGAATAACAACTTGAAATATTTCCAAATCTCCACAACCCCCTCAAAATTTAAACTGTTTTATGATAATGGCCATAACAGAACTAATTTGACCAAAGCATCCTCCAAAGACTTGGAGGAGCTTTACAGCACCGGTCAAATTTCTACCTTCCTACTAACCTAATGTCGTTTTTCTTTAAAGCGGAAATTTTTACTTACATCTCATTATCATTATATTCCTTGAACTGAATGTGATCTTGACACCGCTCCTTATATAGAGGATTCTAGCAATTATATTTCATTATTGAAGATCGCTTACTCAAACACTTAATATTTTATCGAAATGTTCAAAGAAGCTATCCAGTGAGGTTGTTACATTAATTAGTGCCCATCAAGGATATTCACTTTGTTACTGATGTACTTTTTTTTCCACGTAACTTTATTTCCACTGACTTTCTAAGGATTGACCTTACTCTCACTTATCTCATGGTGAACGAATAGTACACAGATAATGTAATCTTGTTAGATGATGTTAACAAGTTCTACAAACTTCTGAACATCCTGAACATTAATCAATGTTTACCTTGTCATGCATGCAAATTATTGCTGTATAGATGCTGAATCTCCTAATAGTACGCTAAGTGATGAACTGTATTGACTATTTTGCTTATTTGTGGAGTTGCAGCAGTTTAGATAGGTTTCTAACCGACGAAATCTCGGTACATGTTACGCAGATAACACACTTGCTAGGGATTGAATTCAGTGTCCTGTGGAACGACGATACAACTATTAAGCGTGAATGATTTTAAAAGACTTTAGGTACTTAGTTAGGATTGGTTTCTCAGCGTCGCTTCCATGTGATGCAGGTTCTTTGTAAGCATTGTGAAGATTATATGTTGTAAAGCATTCGATATGAAACTTAAATAAGTTAATGAGGTTCTGAACCTTTATCGATTGAAGTGATGAGGATATATTGCTTACATGTTGTAACCACTGAATATATCAAAATTTTATTGTTCAATAGGGAAGAAGTAAGATCAAGAGGCTTTTCTTATGTTCAATCCATAAAGTCTTAGACTCTTGTTTTGATTTGCATAGACAATTCGAGTTTTTCAAAATCAATGGTTGAAGGCTTGAAGTACAATAGCTTAGTGTAGGTTTCACTTTTGTTTCCTAAATATTCTTTTATGCACAACGTTTCCTCTTTGTAACTGCTCGTTTTTGTTTCTTACGACAACTGGCTGGCACCAGCACTTTCGTTTCTGTACTTTCCGTGATGTAGATTTATCTTGTGTATTGATGTGAAGCATGGCAACTCTGGCTGCTGTAGACATACCAGATCCTATGTTGTTCATATGCTTGGTGGTGACTAAAGTTATCGGTTACAAATTATGGCTAGAAATAAACAATAACCACGCCTTTGATGTAGCCCTATATGGTAGGTCTAAACACCATCGAGCAGTTAAGAACGAAGTACTAGAAACCAAAGGGTTATACTATCATTTACTTTGATATAAACCTGTTAGCTACCATAGTAGTTTTGATCAACCTTTTCTTTGAGATATTGCCTACTGAGAGGAGCAAGAAGATATGAACCATTTAATTCCTATCTGATGGCTCAATGGTAATGTGCTAGCCGCGGAATCTAAAGGTCCTAGTGGGATGGAGTGATGGGTGCTCACTGCTCAGAAGCCTCGTACTACGACGAAAATCAGGTGTCCCCATTCATCACAAAAGTGCATTACTGTGTACTGCTCATTAGTGATATGCTTCTAATGAGAAGTAGTCATGATCTTTGGAGTCAACCGGTCGGAAAGGAAGTAGAAGCCATCTGAAGACCTTGGCTGATAGTTGGGCTATATCTCAAATTGAACTTCTTCCCGGTGTCTGAATGGTTAATGCGTTCGCCGTGAAACCAGAAGGTCCTGAGTTGCATCTCTAACCGGATAGTGGGTGAGTACTGCTGGAGAGTCCTCTACTTAAGATGAGACTGCTGTCTAGTGATGCCAAGTTTTCAATGGTCCCCCAAACGATGTCAGTCCGTGGTGAATACTACCTGTAGACTATTATTTGTCAGTTTCAAATACTTACAAGACATATGTTGTTTTGACTTTTTAGTATCAAGTCAACTTTAATTTGATAAGCCAGCAAATAATAAGATGTTAGGTTTTTTAACTGAAATAGCAGAACATAGCCATTATAATTCAGATGCTGGCAATTCATATCCTGTTATAACATCGACTTTCGTTTACCTCCGAATAATTTTTAGCTGGAGAATCAATTATAAAACGTTAAAGTGAATATATTCATTCTTTTTTCCATTCCCCTTCAATAGATTACTATCAATGGGTACCATTAGTACTTGGCTTACAGGCTATCTTGTATTATTTACCACGCATAATTTGGAGTATATTTACATACAATCGCACTGGAACTGATTTACAAAATTTAATACATCAAGCCAACTTAATTACAAAAGAAGATGGTGAAAAAAGGCAAAAAATGGTCCAACATATTTCTAAAACACTGGAATTATTATTATTTAGTCGTCGTGAATACCGTAGTGGTGACAGTTTAGGTGCTTCATTTCGACGTTCAATGGCTTTTATGCCTGGTAAACATCATGGGAACAACTTAGTCTATGCATATTTGGCAGTCAAAGTTTTATACTCCGTCGTTGGATTTTGTCAGTTGTATATGATGTACGTTTTCTTACGTTTTGATTCACGTGAAGGCTATTGGTTATTTGGTCTGCGTGTTCTCTCTGATATTATACATGGAAAACAATGGTCAGAGACACAAGTATTCCCTCGAGTTGGAATGTGTAGACATACACTTCAACATGTTGGCGCTAGTAATATACTATTTGCTCAATGTGTTCTACCAATCAACATGTTGAATGAGAAAATTTACATATTCTTATTCTTCTTTCTTGGTTCAGTCATGGTGTTGACTATGCTAAGTATACCACTTTGGTTGTATCGTATGGGACTGAAAAAGCGTCAGCGACACTTTGTACGAAGATTTTTAAAAATTGCCGATGTTTATGACCGTGATGATCCAAAAATATCTCTTCTTATAGATCGATTTATGGCTGAATTTTTGAGACAAGATGGACATTTTATCCTACGTATGCTGTCTATGAATGCTGGAGATTTAGTGACTGTAGAGATTGTTTGTAATTTGTTTGCAGATTACAAGAAACGTTTTATTGGGATCGATTTCCGTGGTCCACCTATCAAACCTAAATCGCATAAATACCATGATTATGATGGTTATTTGTCACATCATCCACATGATATTCCAAATGATCTATCAAGATCGAATAATATCGATAGAAGTCATAGCGGATTCATGAGTTTACGATTGGAAGAGGGAGGTATGGCAAATTTACGTCAGCGTCCAGTTCCATCTGCCCCACTAGTATCAGAAAATATTGTCCCACCAGCGTATCAGTATCCAGCGGGAATGAAAGATGGAGAGATCTATCCAATAAGTGTGGTACGTAATATGCCACGTGATGGTTCTGTTGAACCGATCAATAATGTCACTAATGCCAATCAATATACTCCAAGAAAACTCGATGACAATATGATTGTCAATGAGAAAGAACAGACGAAGAAAGTTCCTCATTGTGTTCCGAGTGAAGTATGATGATGGTTTTTGTCTTCATTCATTGACGAGAAGAAAGACACCAGTCGTGTAAAGTCAACCCCTCCCCCCTATCCATCTACGTTTCTTTTTCCTTTCTCTACAATGTTCACATTTAAATCGTTATGTTTATATGTGCATGTAATCTAGGCTTTTGTGTTGTATTTTGTGTCTAAGACAAACAAATTATCGATCTCTTTGTTCTCAATAATAGTTTCTTTTCTGTGTATGGATTTATTTATCTAACCATGGAATAATGTTGGACTATTCCAAGTGAAATACTGGATAGTACACAATCTGTGTCATATGTCACCATCGCTAGTAGTATCACTACCATTACTACTACCACTACTACTACTACTACTTATGTAACCACCACTACTTGTACAATTACTATCGATGTTAATGAGTGAATTGGCGTTTCCCTCTTCGTTATATATTCAAGAATATGTCTCCAATTACAGTGCAAAATACTAAAACTGACCAACTTATGATGATGATACTAATAATAATAATAATAATAATAATAATAATAATAATAATAATAATAATAATATTAATGACAGTGGTAGTGAAAGTAATAGAAATAAAGTTTATGAACAGTTTGTATTTCACGTATTATATCTACATGTTTGTGTGTAGTTTGAACAATGTTCAGATCACTTTCTGTCTATTCAGACTTAAATGTTTCTTTTTTTCTAGACTGGAGTTGTATTATAATTATGCTCTTTTTGTATACAAATTTTTGTTTTTAATTTTGTAATAGTAGTTTTGATGTGTTTTTCTCTTTCTAGATATACAGCTGGGTTTAATATTCTATAAATGGTTTAAATATGTATTCTGAGTTGACATTATATATTACATAGTGAAATTTTTAATTGTGTTAGATGATAAATTTTTATTTGAAGAAAGAAAGAGGGAAAGGTTGAAGTTAATGATAAGGTTCTTTTTGATAGTTGCTTACATGAACTTACTTAAATTTGGGTTAATAATTTGTGAGAATAACTGTTAGAAGATAATTAGGTGTCAACTGTTATTGATTCTGAGTCAAGCTATCTATGATTATTAAATACCCCTTTTTTGTGTTATATATTATAGTTATCGATTAAGATTGAAAATACTGCTGATAGTTTTTAGGTGTCTTCTATCATCATCTTCCAGCATGAACTGACATCAGGTGGAGAGATGTTGAAAACTTAGGAGCATTGGATAGCTGTTTCGTCCTAATGTGGGACTCTCATTAGCAGTGGACACCCATGACCCCGTCAGGGATCAAACCTAGAGGAGTTACTCAACGACGGCATTCAATCTAGCTGGCGCTTTATCGTGAACTGATAGAAGTAAGAAATATGCACCAATAGATTCCGATCCAGTGATTCAATGGTAACGTGCTGGCGGCGGAACCTAGTGGTCCTGAGTTCGATCCCCGATGGAGAGGGTCTATGAGTTTGTATATACTTCTGACGAAACAGCTATCCAGTGCTCTCAGGTTCCCAATGTTTCTCTAGCTGATATCAGTACATGATGAATACCAATCTGAAATCAACATGAACTGTTCACGTCTCAGATGTTCGACTAGTTTAGGTTTTCTGCTTGAATTCCTCGTAGGTTTCTGCAGTATTTGTAAAAATAAAAGTGAACAAGTCATGCTTTCATTTAATGACCAGGGTGTTTGTTTGAAGTGAAATACATTTCCAGTATTCTGCAGGTTAACTGATTTCTCGATGGTATTTTATTGATTATGCAAACCATGTTGAGTATCGTGGCAGGCAGTTTGTTAATTTGTTAAATAAATACCAGGAGGGTATTATGCTATGAAAATAAAAGTTCAACTTATCAGTCCAAATGTTCAATAATCTAGTAAGACAAATTTGCTGATACACTTGTTTCTTATATTGGACAGCTTTTGTATGTCTTCCGTAATATATTAAGTAATAGACACTGTCGATATGCGCCTCAGCTCTATTCTTATCCATAGGATCTATGAAGAGCTAAAAATGAAAAATCTCTCTGTCAACAATACTGTCTCCCTTCAGAACTCACAACAAAACTGGAGTGTTAAACAGTAACTATAAAAACTAAGTGTTTGAATTGTTACTGATGAAATTATTCCATATTATTGTTATTCTCAGTTTGTAGAGGTAAATAAATCCTATTTAAAGCCAGAGTTCTATGCTCCTCACCACATATACCTAGTCGCCGTCTACCTCGTCACACAATATTGGCTGAAGTAGATTCAGGCTGAAAAAAGGCTCGAAGCCGCCAGACTAAAGCATGCCATCAATGTATGAAGTGTTTGACTGTTGGTTTGAGCCATATGGGGCGATACGGACTGGCCAGTTGGGGTCCCCGGGACAAGAGAATCCAATGGTTACAGAGTCTAGTTGATATGGCTCAGAACCGATGTCAGTGGTGCAGATGTATACACACATCCTCATCTTAACACTATACCGAATCTCACCATTTTGTCATTCCTCCGTTCTCTCTTTTAGTACTTTATATTTCTTTTGACTGCATTCTCTTATCTTCATCTTCCACTTGACTGTCTTTTTACTTGATTTACTGATATGAGGTATGGGAACTTGGACCGTTATATTCATTTGGATAGATGGATGAGAACATATTATACTTCAATGATGATATTTAATGAACCGTAAAGGTTTCTATCCTGCTAATTCTTTCTAAATTACCGACAAAATATGGTTAAAAGAAAATACTAATATGACTGCCTTCTCGTGAAACACTCTTGTCGCAATTGGAACATATTTGTGAAATCAATCAGGATCATCATGTATAAGCACATTATGTCGATCATCACTTTTCTACATTCATTAAACCGATAGATAATTATTCCATTATTACTTCTAGAGTTGATAGTATTCTCCTTAGTTTCTCTTTTTGCTTTCATTATAGTCATCAAACAGGCAGTAAATCAGGTGCACTGACATTCATCCAATAGGGTTATTCATACTGATAAATGTTTAATCAATTTATATGATCAAATTAACTTTCAGAGTTTAAGAAACAATTCACTAACTAGATGCCTGAACTTAAAAAAAAAACATATTAAAGAAGTATAGGTTCATGTAGTCATTTTGATGAACTAGCGCCAGGCTTTTCTGATTCGACTATAAATGAAAAGATTATAAATGTTTCAAGAAATAGGTTTGCATTATTATTATATATTATTTTTCCCTTGGGTTCCTAGTAGAACATAAGGATTCAGTAGCACGTCTCCATTCCACTCTGTTCTCCTGCAGTCTTTAAAACCTGGCTCCACCACTACCCACAAGGTTTCATTTCCTCCTCACATGATATCCTCCACGTCACCATCATCTCGGACGCCCAACTAGTCTTTTCCCATCTGCCTGGCACATGATGTCGCCGAATGGTGTTCTCAGTGCATGACTAATCCATATCCACTCTCTTCCCCTTCATATATATATTAGGTGATAGGTTCTTGGTTCTTTAGTTCGTTGTCAGCCAGCCAGAGTTCTTTGTTGCTTATTCTTTCTGCCCACCTGAGCTTCAGTAACGAGCCAGCGCAGGTGGCAGTTGTTGATGAATATCTGTAGTTTGTTAGAAATGCTTTTCGTAACACGCTAAGTCTCTCAACCATCACATAGAAGCACTGACTTGACTGGATTACTGTTGAAAATCCGGGTGTTCTTCATGTTCTATGCTGAGTAGAGTGCAGAAGATCTCCACACTGGTTTCGGGTTAATGAACGCCTGTCTTGTTTTTCCGATCCTGGCTTTGACGTCCTTGCCTGTGCCGCCTGTAGTTGAATCATTGCTGCCTAGATAGGTGAAAGTGGCTACTTCCTTCAAGTTTCTCCCATTGATGGTGATTGTAGCTCGTTTTTGTTTCATATCGATGAATAGTGTGAATTATATCAACATTTGGGCACTCAAGATATGTGGATTAGATTTCTATTATTTTCTGTGCGTCTCTTAAGGAATTCAAAATATGTTACAACTATAATGAATGTTAGACTTTACATGACAGAAGTAAGGAGTAAAATAAGGTGGTATCCTTTTTCTACGTTACTGTGCATTTGGTAACAATCTTGAATTAATGCTGTGACAGATTCACCATATTATGAGTAAATTTAGCCTGCAGTATAGATTGAAGTATATTTCACAAATTTCTCTGATAATTTTTTCTTTACAATTAAGTATTTGTTGAAATTCTTGACAAAATCTTTACTTTCTGTAACCTATCTGAATATACACAATAATGTTAGCTAGCAGTAAGCATCTTAGCACAATCTTTCAAGTATCAACAAATCCAACACCCAGAAGAAAGAAGAAGATAAGTTGTGATGTGAAGGTCTTGTCCTCTAGGTAACCGGTGACAGCGAATCAGAACGTGTGCATATATATGCATCAGAAGTAAGGTTAACCAATAAGAAAGGGGTCTTTGAGATTGTGGAAGAACGACCTACTGGTTACAACGTAAGAAAACTTGTAAAAATAGGTTTTCGTTTCACTTCCAATAACCATTCATCATCGGAAAACAAAGTAGTTATGACAGATTGTGAAATGCAGGACGCGTGTTCCGTCCCATTCGGGACTCTTCAGCTGGCTTTGCCTACCCTCCAGTGAATGAGGTTGTTCCTATTAAGATTCAAATCCCAGGCCTATTACTCCAAACGCTAGAGGGTTATCCAATAGACCATCGAGAACCACTTCTTCTGCAACGGGCATAGTTTTAACGTTCTTGCTTGTATTTTCTCACCGATGATTGGGCCAAATAGATTGGTCTCTATTGAAATTAGGGCTTCTGCGTGGACGCCTCGATATTACTTGTTGTTTCAACTTTGCAGTAATGCTGAATAGAAGCTGGCAGTGGAATTCGAGACTTGTGTTTCATCCTATTTCTTCTTTTTGGATATCGTGATACATCCAACTGACAAGTCCTAAAACGAATGAAACGTGCTTCCTGCATTTCACTGCTATCCATCACTACCATAAAATTGAATCGACAGATAACCTCGAGTTACCTGAACGGGAGCCATTTTGTCAACAGAGACCGATCAATTCAGTTCAAACAATGACGAGATAATACAGGCAAAAACAGAAAAACAAAGTAGTTTATCAGGATGAATATTGTGACTTTTCAACAACTACGACCTACTTGTAACCAATGAAATTAAGGTTACCATTTAATCCTTTGTAGCTTTTATGGCTCAAAATAATTGATCTGTACCCCTGGTAATGAATATATGACACCGTTATGGTGATTCAGGACAATCCCCTTTTTCCTATCTCTTTCTAGAATTAGATATTCTTCAAGATTACAAGAGCTTTAGATTGCAGACGCGACACCTGGACAGTTTGTTGAGAAGCATTCATCTAGTTGTTATTCGGTCTTAAATCCATCTGAAAGATATTTTCAAAATTGCTTTCAAGTTTTCTTTTTCTTCTCACTTAAAATTGCTTACGCATACTATTTCTTTTCAAGTTGTTATTCACCGAAGACTGACATCAGTTGGAGGAACAAAGGAAACCTGGGAGCACTGGACAGCTGTTTCGTCCGACCAGTATGGGACTCCTCAG